AACGGGAATTTGTCCGGAGGTCTGTTACGTGTCCAAACAGGTCTCATGAGTGGGGCGAGTGGGCTTGTACTGTTGATCGAGTCAAGATGTAGTCTCAGGCAGCCACCAAGGTACTCCGCAAATTGGCGTCCTGGAGGTATACTACATAAGGGGGGTTTTGGGAATGCAGTGTTTGTTGTGATGGCTGCTGCTTGGACCAGTGCTGAGATGTACCGCTTGTACAGTGGCTTCAACGCGGCATGCCAAATAGGTGGAGCCCATGCAATGTTGTTCAGACCATAGGTGGCCGTTGAAAGAATGAATGTCTTGAATATTTCCAACCGATTTCGCGGATGGCGCCAGCTGAATCCATGAAACCCATACGCCCGAAAGGACACTATAGCCTGAATGCAGTGGTGGTCTATTTTCTTTACAAAGTCGACACCCGGTATGCCCTGGAATAGTTGAAGTCCTAAGTATTTGGAAGGATGTAGATAGATGTCTGAGAGTTCCACCGCCATGGGCATGGGAGGTATAAGTAGACGTATGTTGAGAGTGTTCATATTTGGAGAGTTGGCGTGATGAGATGTCCTTTGATACGGAGAGGCGGTACCGCATGCAATATTCTCAACGATATCTTCCGGGGTTTAGGAATCCCTTGTTCTAGACCAGATTGGCTACCCCAATCATCAATCGCGTTCAGAAAGGGTTGAATCATCTACAAATAGGTAGAAACGAAGGAGTTTCGGCCGAAATTGCGTAAGCCCATTTAGATGATAAAAAATTGTGGACCGACGATCGAACCTTGAAGTATGCCATTCGTTCTATGGAATAAAGTTGAGAGCCTCTCACGATACGTCACCCGTGTGGGGACATTCTCTCGAATAATGCACGGAGACAACATATCCAGTACTCTGGTACTCCATCGCGGCGCAACAGCATCCACATACGCGGAAGGACTACACCACTTTATCGCATGATTTTTGATGTCTAGACACACATCATTCCAGGAATCCTCGGATTGTGTCTCAGATTCCATCGCGGCAAGGGCGTAGTATGACAGGAGTAGTAGTGTGATTTGAATCCAGCTTGAGTTGCATGAGTGGTTGATCCGAGGTGATTTGTTATCACTTTGTTCTCAAAAATGCGTCTAGCGATTATCGGTCGGAAATCGACAGGGGATGTAATATACGTGTCTGCTTTCACCGGATGGGCTATCAAGAGGGTACAGTTTAGAGCTTTAGACATTGTATCAGGAGGGTGGAGAATGCCTCAGCCAAGATTCTTCTAAGTGGGGCTGTCAAGATCAGGGCGTCCCGGATCTAGAATATATATACTCAAACCAAAACGGTACTATTTTAAGCGTCTTTCATTGCAAGCTGTTGCGGTGAGAGTAAATATCACAAATATATTATGATTTTATTGGGAGTGTAAGCCAAAGGACCTAGCACAGAAAAACATAAAGTCACACAATTTTCCATATAACCAGTACGTATGAAAACAAATAAAACATTACATTCAACGTAAAAAAATGGACGTTTGACCATGTTAACAAATATGAACATTATTTTAATCGAGCCGTTTCAAAAAATTACTCTTCGTGATACTAATAAAATGAAATAGATGATGAACTAGCAATGATGATCAATCTAAAGTACGGAATATACTTTGAAAGTAGAATAACACAATTGACAAAAAAGAAAATAGAACGCATAGGGATGATATTATTTATTTCAATTATTATATGTCTACACGCACATCAGGCCTCATATTTCGCACAGCAGAAGCAACGTTTACAATGCGAGGGACAGCAGTTGATTGGCCTGCTTCTCCAGAGCGATGATAGAATTGGTTTGTCTTTGGTTTTCAATTCCATGTTCGTCTGGTGGTTTGAGTATTGATCTCTGGCGTCAGATAGATGAACTCCATGCATGTGAAGCCGGAGAGTTGATACAGATTTCTGACTGTGTGCTACAATTGATGCATAGCAGAATCAAGACTTGCCCATAGCGCAAACAAAAAAAAAAGAAAAAAAAACACTATTTTTAATTTTATATGGCCGAGGCATTTGTATATTCATACTCGTCTACTACTCTTGTAAATATCGTTTTGGTATTTTATATACATCATACGTGGGAAATCTGAGGAATGATACGGATCCCTGAATATGTAATCCGTAAGAGTATATTGCGAGCTGCAGGTTCCACACTTTTGTTTACGACAGATACGCTAATATGTAGGGTGGTGATTGAATTTCCTTCTCACGATATTCCAATCTATCAGAAAGAAGCGTTTGCCACAGGATTGCAAATGTGGGTCAACCATCAGTATGCGTCATTTGACGCTATGTAAAGACTAAATCTTCTTGGCAATAAGGTAAAACTTGGATCGTGACCTGTATCCGCAGAGAAAGATTTTATTCAAATACGTTTAATTGTATACCTGAAGAGATAAACCAAAACGGCTCGAATGGTAGATATAATTGAACAAGATTTTGGCACCAGATAAGCCTATATGAAAAGTTACTAGTCCTCTATCCTTCTCACAATTTGCGGCAGGACTACGGCTTTAGCGGGCCAGCAACTTGCTCCAATTGAGATAATATATGACTTCGGCCCAAAAATAGATGATCGTTCCAACAAGTATCAAATTTAAACTCGCAGTTAGGTCTAAAACTGCGTACAGCATTATGTCATACAAGGGGTCAAAGATACAATACGAACGACATCGTAAACGAATGGAGGTATATACAGCTAGAACCAGCGGTGATATCAACGACTCGCAGAATACAGTGAGGGTAGCAGGGAACTTCATACTCCTCTTTTTACTTCACGAGTTCTAAAATTCAAAGTGAATAACGTCCACAAAGCATTATCGGTGTCTATGTTCGTTCCAAATCATTCGGTTCAAAGTGATGGCCCCAAGAATCGTAAAAGGAAATAAACGCAAGGGACCATTCAAGGCGTTAGTGACTAACATGAATTGCCACCCGTTGAATATACTCAACACAGTGGTAAACAACATCGAGCATATAGATGATCCTCCGATAATCACAACAACCACAGAGGAAAAACTCAAAGGGGTATTGCAATATCTTAGACATTCAACACTCAAAGAGCGATCAAGAACCTGACTATGAATCCAAGACTGATCACCTTGAACATGCGTGCCAGCAGACTCAGATACCATTCAAATATAAGTATCCGGACAGAATGAATGAATATTAAAGAAACGAAGTTAAGAAGTTATTTCTCAAACATCATAAATAGTTCGTCGATCAAGCACCGGTCAAACTGCGCATAAAAGATGGCACAGAGCCAATACACATACGACAGTATCCACTTTCGAAAGTACAGGAATAAGTTTATAAAACAATTTTGAAGGACATGCTGAAGAACAAGATTGTTGAGCTTAGGGATTCGTCATATAACGCACCCGTTTTAATCGTGCCTAAAAAATAGCAAAAGGGGCAATGGAGACTAGTAACAGATTTCAGAAGACTAAATGAGTGTCTGAAAATGAGGGATTAAACACTTTTAAGTATATCTGATACAGCAAAAAATTGAAATATTGGGGATCTTATTCCTCCTGGGACTGCAACAATAGATACTAGGCAGTCTTCGTTGACGAAAAATCTCGACGTTATCTGGCTTTCAGCACTCCCACGGCGAAATATCAATATGAAGTTCTCCCACAGGGATTAGACGTAAGTGGGCCTTTATATTGTTGTTCAACTGCCCCTGCATTACAAGATGTCCCGCGATGTGTGTGGTCGGAATACACCCAGACAGGGTTATAAGTGTTATTTTAGTTAGGAAATTTTAGTTTACAATATCAGAATCTTCAAACTTAGTTTGTACTGATCAGTGTTCTAGATCGGCACATGTCTCAAAAGTAATTGGATTCTGTAATTAAGGTTTAATGAATAAAAGAGCAACGTCTCCCTCTGAACAGAGGGAGAACGTTGAGATATTGTTATTCAACGTTATACCTGGAATCTCGAAGTGCGGAAAACATAATGCAAATGGCAGATTCCAGCAAGAATACAAGAAGTCTATTCTGTTCTGCCAATCCATTTTCATTTTAGTTGAATATCCTAGTCAAGGACCTAAAGCCGAGACATTACTTAGTATGCTAATACAGATGTGGCCATACTGCAAGAGAATACTGGTACAAGATAATACTTAATATGTTAGTGCCATTGCAAACAATTTAACTTGAATCACACGAGAAAGATAATGCGAGGTGCGATGTGTAATCAATATAATACAAATTGTAGATTTCAAACGGCAATATTCTGCCTATTTAAATTTTATTTGGCTCGCTATTTATGTCTAAATCTCGAGGCTGTGCCATATTTACCGGTGACACTGGTGCGATCTTCCACTCACAATCCAGCCGCCATTGTTGTTGCCATCGTTATACTTAGATGACTACCAATTTGCTTATGTTTTCCACATAGTTGCATTCTATTGTACAAGCTGACATTGTTATTCACAAAAATACACCAATCAATACACCCTATTGGTACAAATCGGTACTTTATCTGCCATGAATGCGTGTCTTTATCGATAAGAGGGTGTGGCCTCCAATATCGCATGCCTACTTAAAACTCCAGCAATAAGCGGATCCCAATTTCACTGAAGGCTGCCGTCGATGATTTCCGGCAGTGTGATTAAATTGGCAAACTATATAAGGCGGGCAGCGGTGACAGCAAAAGGCTTCGAGCGATAACTCCGTACTAATAACCCATAAAAAAAAACACCGGCCACCACCGGCCAGGCCAACAACATTGATATTATACTTTCACTTGACAATTTTGCTACCAAATATGTGGAGATGAACAGTTCGATGCTTCACCAACAACCCACTGACGGCGACAACACAAGTAGTGAGAATTATGGGCTGCGAACACGCACAAAGAACATGTATAGTGAATTGTTGTGGAGATTCCGACGACGTAAAGTTGTACTCATCATCAAATAAAATTTAATAACCAACACACGACTAGAAGTAAAAAGGCGGAGGCTTTAATTGCACACACCAGGTAGATTAGGATAATTTATTTGATTATGTCAGAGCCTTTTTCCCTTCGTTGCCCTTCTTTATTCCGAGCTACTCGGGTGCCGAATTGTATGGCACGTTTAGGTTCAGTGGCAGACACATCCATCCCTAATTGTTTCAGTGCCATGCGCAACAATATCTTCTCGCCTATGGACAAGTGAAGTATTAAAAGTCGAATATGTAGTGTATCATGAATACTGCATCGTTCGATAGCAACTAGAAAACCACCAATCCACCACAGTCTCGAGATCGTATCAACAACCATATACCTTAAAATAAATATAATGATAAACTTTTGCAAAATGTATACGAGTGATTTCAGCCAAATGTTTTCACACAACATTTAAAACGACGAGTAAGCACGAGTGCACGCAGTGGAAAGTAATCGCATAGAATGGACTGCTACACCGTCAGAAATTAATGCCCAGTATGCCAATGCACGTATTTACCTTGGCCTCGAGGAAAGCGAGGGTCTGTTTTGATCCAGATAGGAAGCTTAGCGAGATACGACACCAGCTGTTCGTCTAGAAAGGGGAAGCGAGCCTCCCTCCCATGATCGGAGATGATGCGATCATCTCGTCCTACACATGGCCATAAATTAATATTTTTCGTGTTGGACGAGAAAATGAAGGTAAATGTACCATCAATATATATATATATATATATATATAATATGATACACACACACACACACACACATATATATATATATATATATAAATACATACATATATATATATAANAATACATACATATATATATATATATATATATACGTACATACATACATACATACATACATACATACATACATAATACATATATACACACACACACACACACATATATATATATAGTACCTTGTCAATCGCGAATTCTGAGCTATCGCATCGAATCTACCTGTGATCTTGTTACTGTACGCTAGATCAGAGCACTAACAACGCTTAATCAATATAGAGGTAGCCAACTCACGAAGTGCGAACCAACACCACCTCCCTAAACCCCATAGACACTCGCAAGCGTAAGACCTACCCAAATTCCGAGTCCAAATGCGATCCACATCCATCCTCATCTCTAAAAGCATACGTTGCCATCCAGCACTCGCAGATATCGTCTCACGTGATTTAGGTTGTACTTTATTTTCATCCTGACATATATCTTCGAGAGACTTATCGGTGTCCACAGTGCTGCTGGGATTTGTAGCAGATGGAGACGACTGATCGGTATTGTCGAGTTTTCTTTTCATGGCATTCTTTGAGCTAGGCTTCTGCAAAGGATAGAAAATTAGACAAAAATCACACTCTTTCTTTCTCGTATGAGGTTCCGTAGTAATCCAGATCAGATTGTAATTCCTCATGACGTCATAAAAGAATCGAGGGATTTCGCGCACGCCACACGGTGAGTCTCACACATGGGGAAAATGAATAGCAACATCACTAATTAAAAACATCTTTCACACTCCACATCGCATGAAACGACATACCTGTACTTTCGGTATCCTCTGGATGGCTGGGTCTACCTCGAAACGTGTTCGGTGTCTACTGTAGCCCCCCAGCTGCTCATCCGCGCCTACGCCTACCAACACCACACGTGAGGATGGCGTGTAAGGCTGCTGCTTTGACCTCCCGTTTGCCTTGGTTGCGTGCCACATCGCACTACCAATACTGGTGTCGATGACAGTCTGTAAGGGGTGCAACAGGCCCTTGATATGCGGTTGCGAACTTTCTAACGTCTCAATTGGTACATCCACCTGTGATTCGGGTAGATAATTTATCGGCATTGATTGAGGTCGATTGCACATTGTATACCGAGGTCAGTATCCTCCGTCCCATCCGACGCATAAAATGGGGCTTCAGTGCCGTAACCGTTTCTTTAAACCACTTCATTGTAGCAGATCCAAATTGCATGGGTAGCATCTATCCCGAAACCTATACGAGAGACACACAATCTAGGTAATCAACCAGATTGATGACACTTCCGCATCACTTCAAACTTGTACAAATCTTCAATTTCAATTATCAAAACAGCTCAACTTGGACTCACCTCCACAAATTGCCAGTTGCGATCAGGACAAGCTGCAACCAACTCTTGATAACCTTGTCGGCCCGTTAACCGATCGGGAACATCGTAAAGCCCTTTCTGGGAAAAAAGCCGAAGTGTGACTGACCGAGCGATCTGACCATATGTGAAGACATACACAGCAATAGTGAAAATGTTTTTTTTTGCTGTGCTGTCAACGGTGCACGCTTCTTAGGACCTAGAACCCAAGAGAAATATCATTGTATACTGTAGAGGCGTGACGGATGCACTATAAAGACAATCTATACATTGGCGACTATTATAGTCGAAATATTGCTGTACAACAGACTCATCGAGGGACTGCGAGTATTTGTCACGCGAACACACGCAAAACAAACTAAGTTTACTGACCACACGATGACACATGCATTCCTCAAAATCGAGAACACCCTCACGTAGACACGCAACCGAATGCAGACAATTAAACATTTTATGCAAGTTTGCCAGTGCTCTGATTGGGATTCACGGAGAAGTCCTTCGGCCAATGAAACAACCAGCCACAAACAGCGATTATAACAAACCACATACTTTATTATTTACTGTATTAGTTCTCGGGTTCTCGAAAGCGACATTCACCAAGTCGATGAAACGACTTTTGGGTATATGCCTAGTTATCGACAGAGTACGTGGGGACAACCAACAATAATTTCAGTATGAGACCAAAAACAATTAATCCGGGTCGACAATTCATCGTTGCGCCCGAAAGTCAAGCCAATGTATGTCGAATAAACGCGTAAAAGTTGTTGAGATGGTTGGTGAATGACGTTGGGGTGTAGATTATGGCGAGCCAATTTTGTACAGACGATACATACACTTATCAACATGTACATACAGAGGCGCCCGCAATAGTTATGATATGTGAGATCACTTGGAACGTTAATCAAGTTTGCATATTGTATGCGATTGCGTTGCTATCAAAACATACCTGTCGGCCAAGTATGCCATCAACATCGAGTCTACACCCCCACTAAAGAGGATCATGATGTTCGGTTCATCGTCAGGAACGGATACTACTCTCCTACGCACTGTGATGAAGCGAAAGTAAACTTAGCACAACGCGTCAATGATGATCATTATTGTGCGCCCAGCACACGTGTGCACGATTCCAGCCACTGCAGCAGCAATATACAAATTCGGACAAGTTGCATCACAATGAGCTTCAACAAAAAAAAAAGGAAAAGACGATCTCGATGAGGTTTTATTAAAATAACTTACGGAGTACATTGAAAAAGGTGAAGTGCAATCCAGATCGAAATGTGTATTAAAGTTCGACAGTTTCTACTTCGCTGTTGACGATATAGTTCCACAAAATGACTAACCTACGACTGTGACGACATACCCGCTTCAGACATATACTCGATAAACCTTGGCGTCTCTTGAGCTACCTGTGTGTTCCAATTAGACATCAATTGATCATGTGGAGTGTCAACTGCGGATATAAAAAAACATAAGGGTTCAGGAATTCCGATAACGAGTAGATATTCGAAGAAGACTGGTGTGCACGAGATACGAGGGTTGTGACTCCCCCGCCTGTAAAGCCTAAGAATTGCTGCTTCAAACTTTCAATACCAATTAAAATGTAATTGACACTCTTCTTGTTTGTAATATAAGTTATGATCGCGTTAAATAGCTCGGTTTAAACAAAGTATATGTAGATGATATCTATACCCATCAGGACTACACAGATCGTGACGACATGGAAACATTCATAAAATCGGGATGCCCTGTTGTGCTGACAATCTACCCTCGACACCAACAAGTGTCCGTGCGTATACATACAGCTTTGGGTTGTAGAAAGCGAGTATTTTCACGTGTAAAGAGTGATACACACCTGGAATAAGGTCTTCTGCGGTCGGAAGTGTCATATTATAGTCGGATGCTGGCGCCACACCCATCGATTTCCAGGATGTACCTTCGAACAAACTGCGAGCGATAGAATAACGGAATATTTAAGTGGAGTCCTTTAGGTGGGAGGGTAGCTCTGCGCGGAAGCAGCTTTCTTTGTCGAGACATAATGTAATTTTAACTGCTTCGCGCTTACCAACTATCCACATAAATATTTTCCATCAGTAAACACATATATCAGAGGTGCAAGGAATATACATAAAGTTGGCAAGGCGATTCGCGCTAGCCATTGTTTTGAAGAGATATAAAAGTCGCAGTCGTCAGGGATTGCCATTCAGCACTCCAGTACCCAAGGCCGACGGTACAAGGTCCATTTCGCGATACTCCCAAGAAAATGAAAAGCGGCTTTCGTAAAACGAAACAAATAAACACAGCAACCAACAAGGCACCTACAAATCTGATTTCTTCGTGTCCAGACAATAAACACCGTCCGCGGGAATCTCTGACCACTCGGATGTGAGTTTCAGAGTGTTCCCTGTAGTACCGCTATTTTGAATTACGTTTGGAGCGTATGTGTGTGCGCGTGCCTTCTTGATATCGGTATTGGATTCCTCGCTTGCGTCTTCAACCGGAGAGATTTCGTCCGTGACTGATGTTAACTGGAGAGTCGTTTTACCTGGATAGGTATAAGTTTATGGCACTGAATACACGATGATGTTCTGACAAGATGGTGCTGAACGCAGATAAGCTTACGTGTGCGCACGCTAGACTAACATCAAACGTTCATATACTTACGACAAGCACATGAATTTGATTAAATAGTACGCTCCTGGAATAGTGGATAGTTTCTCTATGAACACTTCGAACGTGAATACCTCTCCCATCAATACATAAGCGTGCTATGAGACTCCTTCTTCCAAAGCAGTCTCTGCCAATCCAAAGTTTCTGCTTAGCATCATCCCAATAAACAAAGCTGAAAGGACCTTCCACATGCTTCAAAGTACCCACAAGCTGAACAATCGGTAAAAATCAAGCATACAAGGGATGATAAATTGTGAGAAAAAGAGAAAGTGCCCCCACGACCAGTGATTCATCTATTGCCCGTTGCCAACAAACTTAATATATGGTGGGTGTCTCTGGCCTATTTGACAAGGTGAGCCGATATGCAATGAAACAACGGTTTAAAAGAAGGAACATATAAATTTAGAAAAGTTACAGTACTGCCGACCAGATCTTAAGTTGTCACTTCAGTGTACCCCACAATTCGGTGGTGGTAGCTGTGCAGGTTGCGAATTGAGGAGAAGCGGCACAATCGGATGTCACTGTCGCAGACACCATAAAATGCTTCAGTGCATACACAGAATGGCCAAAACAAACAACAAAATTCAATTCCTCTCGATTCTCAGAAAACTTACATCGCCACTGCGTTCGATAGCGTCCATCAAGAATTGCGTATCGTTCTCTGTTTGCGGCGGCACGCATGATCCTCCAAAGATCTCGCCATTCCACAAGAAGAGATCTACGATATAGACAAAGTACAAGTGTATTCCATTCTGTGACATGTGTATAATTAGCCACATCGATAGTAGCTAGCACAGCTGTGTACCATTGTAATAACGATATGCTGCAACGCCGCAAGGATCAACAAAAGTTCCTTACAATATATATGGATTGTCATGAACAGTGCGACATTTCAGAGGTATTGTGGACGAAGCATCAGTATATGTAACATGCGTTAGAACACAAGTATGAGTAGGTGTTTGAGGCATTGCTGAGGAATAGGTAGTAGCAGTCTAGTGTGTGCTAGGAGGATTGGGGACTATACCAGTTTACCCACCTTTGAAATCAAATTAAAGCAGGGTTGGGGATACCAGTTTACATACATTCAAACGAATTGCGGTATGGTTGGGGTTCGTTCGAGTATCTGCAGCAATGAGTGATTTTACACAGATGCTTATATATGATCACAGACGGACAACCACATAGACTTGTATTTGTCACATACGGATTTAATTTTCAGAGATATCGAAATTTATAAACATAGTTTCAATGCGTAGAGACTCATGAATTCACAGACAAAGAAAATGGTGTATATATACACACCAATTGCAAATACTCAAACAAGTGGACAGGGGCCCGAGTATTAAAGATTGATACTATAAATTGTTCTACAATGCAACTGAAAGGCTTTCGGCTGATTGCAGATTAATGAGACTACCGTCCTGAAGGTTGATATCATGTACAGCTAAAGTTACATATTACATTCAATTTAAGCCTCCCATATGTTGTACTCTGGAAGATGATATGTGGAACACACAACCACAGACTCTTATTTTGCAGAGGGGTATAAAAGTACAATAAACGTCGTATTTATAATTAGAAGTCGAACATCACTATATATGCCTCCAGACACACGATCACAATGATAGCGTGCGCTATTAGTTAAATATGTAACACAGCTTACATCTATGAGCGTGCTTAATTACAATTGAATTACGCATTCGTGGGTATGTGGAAAATCAATTATGCCAATGGGTCATAGCTTTGACTGTAAATTTATCGAGTGATATCAGATTCAATCGAACTATCCGTGCATTGATACCTCATGCGTGTGCAATTAGATTGTAAATTCAATAGTAGACAGCAGTTACCGGATTCTAAACTAATGAGCTAACATTTGAGATAATGATTGCCAAAGGAGTATGTCTCGCGCACAAACCACGTGCACGCACATTAATAAGTCTCAATGGAAGCCTTGCAGACATCTGCTCGCTACCACACAAACACCAGGTTGGAAGGTTTGTATTCATTGCGAACCTATCGACAATGTACCAAACATAACTGCTTACTTTTTCCATTGGCATCTGAAACAGGCTGGGGGGTTAATTGCCCTCGGATGTGTAATACACAACCACAAAATATGACCACTCGCTCGTTTGTCAGCTGTCGACTGTCTGTATGAGTAGCATAAGGACCTCTTCGACGTAGTGGTTTCAGTAGGAGTTCGGTATCGGACTGAACTGAGGGACTATTTGCGCCGCATATCAATATTCCGATGCCACACATAATCCTCACAGTACTTGTTGGCGATACTGTTACAAGCCAGCCCTGTCAACAAAAGTGTTGGGATTTATCTATCTACGTGACGAGTCTCTTAGTATTGTGATCACCATCACCATATATCTTGGAAAAATATTAAAAAAATATGTACATACGCAAATTTCAGGAATAAGGTACTTTAGGGTGTGCTTCGGTGTGATTACTATAGAGGATAAACATTTGGCGCGCAAAAAAATACCTCATGGGTCATGCCGCTCTGCTCACTGCTGTTGCCTGCTCACCGCAGCAGTATCTTTGATAGGAGGGTGTACTGTAGGAACTGCAGACTACAGAGTTTTAACGCGAGCATTTCATCGGTTTTAAAGATTATTCTATAGCTAAAATTCCATATAAAACAAGGCTATGACTATCCCGCTTTCGTGACTAAACAGTATAGTCATTTTGAGATAAAATGGTTGTCGACTTGTCGCTCAAGTCGGTTCAAGCGCCTCAACTCTAGCAAGCACGAGTATAGTAAAAGTTATCAACATTTGTAACTTTCATGCGATATTGAGTCTGTTTAGCAGCCGTAGGTATAAATAGTTTCGGATAACCCCGTTGTACATGTGAAGATTTATTATAAATGCCATAGAGAGGACTCCTCCATCTGTGTAACTCAAGCTATACACAGAGTGAAGAAAAGCTTATGGGGGCCTCTCAAAGTAGGAAATGTTAACGCAGACGGTACTACAGGTAAGTTACTCTTCACAATTCCCGTCTCCATCTCTGTTTTTGTATTGCTCCGATAGCATTTTTCGGATTTCATTGTCTGTTTGCAGTATGCTCGCACAGCGAAAACTGCGCTTTACTGTTCTTTTTCGTAGCCCCAACTCTTGCAGAAATAGACGCCATGGACAAACGCCAAACCCAAGGTACCAAAAAACAAACGATCTCTAAGGACAGGCTGTTTGGCGAGCTGTGTAACAAAAGGATGCGAGTTGGAAATAATAAATTTAGTTTAAATATTCTGGTCGAAAATATATAAATACCAGATTTTTATCCAGGTATTGCTAAACCTGTATTAATCATTTCTATGCTGCGACCGGAAAAAACCTCTACCGTACCCTCTATTTCAAGATTTCGACATAAAAATTGTCCACCGGGTTCAAAAAACACTTGCAACGAAAATTTACCATAACACGTAGCTGTCTAGTAAAAGTCCTTCCTTCCCAAATATAACAGCAGTTTACACAGTAGATTGTTAACGTTGCCAATGAATATACTTTTAATAATTAGCCTATAAGTGCTTTCCAACATAATTGAGCACACAGACAACATACTGACAACACTACATCATAGGCATGCATCCGACGTGCGCAACAAACAAAAGAGGTCGAAAATCTATCCCGCCAAGAGGCTAGAATCGATGCATATCGTTGTGCACAGTGAGCGAGTTACATCTTGCACAGTGATTAAAGTACACCCACCAATTTTGCAGTCACTTACAGAAATTCTTATTATAGGCAGCAGGGGGGCGTACACATAGGGTGCCCAGACCATGAAACCCGCTTCTTTCCTCTCGGGCTTTTTCGAGATCCAAGGATTATCGAGCATGGCCAGTTCAGCCTGCGCCTTTGACACACTGCTAGCGTCTTCTTGTACTGACATAATGTATTATATTTAACGAATTTATAACACTTAATGAGTGCAATTTCAGGCTAGTACACAGTATATATAGATAATTTTTTTAAACGACGGTAGGCATGAGGCAAACGCCAAACTTACATATGTATGCCATATATAGCTTGCCAGTTTGAACACTGTAACAGTTTACTGTTTTTATAGAGCTTGCCGCTTGAAGCCTCTTCTTGTGGAGGCTTGGGCCTTGGGCCTTGGACTTTGGAGTCTTGACTCTAACTCTTGGCCTCTTGCAGTCAAAGACTCACATTGACATTGCACCTTATGATTTCTTTTCCTCTCAGGCTCTCTGGCTCTGAGTTCTGAGTGGGCTCCCCCAGACTCCCGCCTCTCCGACGATCGGCATAGCCAATAATAGAACGTAAAGAAATTTCGGTGAATTTATTGACAAAAGTAAACAAATATCCCCAATGAATATTAGTTTTCGTGTTAAAAATGCCATAGCTTTGCTCACACGGACTATGCACCTTGCTTTGTTCTGCCGCAATTAAGGCCCATCGCGATCCGTTTTCATGGAATTGTTTGGAATAACGCTGGGATTGTCCGGATCGGGATTCAGGACAATTAATGGATTATCAGGGATTCAGGAATCAGATTGACGATTGTAGTTGGGCGCTTAGAGGCCTTAGAGTTTAGACCCTACTGACTCAGCTGAGGATATCTCTGGAGAGAGAGAGAGAGAGAGAGAGAGCGTCTATTTACAACTCTACCATACAGTCTACAGACTATACTCTACAGACTATACTCTACAGTCTACACTTCCTACACTCTACAGACTACACTCTACAGACTACACTCTACAGACTACACTCTACAGACTACACTCTACAGTCTACACTTCTACATTCTACAGACTACACTCTACATTCTACACTCTACTCAGTATTCACTAGATAGTGACCGACACGTCACACAAATAAGAGTTCGGTACATGTTAAAGGTACCATCTGGCCGTTAATGAATAAAAGATAAGTATACACACAGCACCTCAGTTGACAGCAGTGTGATTCCTTTACCTGGTATTACTGGTATATGAGATACGATGGTACTCACTCAACTACTAAGGAATGGCAAAGCCATGAGTGAAGTAGAGGTGGCTTCATGCCACAAGGGGAAAGGGATGGATCATGGATATTGTATTGTCAACACTCTAGCCCTATATAGTTGCCAGTTGGCCGTGCCTCGCCAAGAGGCATAGGAGGAGTGCCCAGACAAGGAGATGGGCAACAAGGACGAGAAAGATCTGATCGGACAGACTATCCGGCATTAGGATAGTAAGGGTATAAGAGGAATATACAGGTGACTCCGAGCATTTAATTAGTAAAATCGGAGGCACAATTCCTAAACCGAAGTTGTTAGTAAGCTGGTTCATTGAGCGTGTTGACCTCTACAGGATTTGTAAGCAGTATATCCCAAATAGGACGGCGGGAGTGACAGTCATACATTTATTGCAATCTCACGGTGACAGACTCAAGTCTCTACTCACTCACTCAATCATCGGCCACCGCCGGCAAACGTCACTCAATACGTTATGCGGTTATGTATATATGATAGTATCAGTGTATACGTTGAACGTCAGAACGTAGCTGTATAAAGTTTTCATATTTCAACGTTAAGACATAAACGCGCAGCCAGGGAACCAACTATGAAAACAATCAGATATATGAAATATTCCAAACAAAAGTAAACACTTAGCGTAATCATAAGTCGTTATGGACTCCCTGAACCTTGTGAACACTGTATTTATAATAGCCTATTAAACCTTCTATGTATGTATGATGAAGCAAGATTGCAATATGGCTATGGCCTATGGACGGCTATGGTCCTGTGGAAAAACCCAAAGGCCAAAACACAAATTGGGTTTGTTTAGAAAAAAGAAACAGAAAAAAGAAACAGACAAACAAAAAACATCAGTTGAGCGAGAAAAGCTCTCGTTCTGTCGACTGTCAGACTGTTAGTCACTCACTCTTCTCTCTTCTTGTTGACGACTCTTGTAATAAAATTGTTGTGCACATTTTTGCGAAACAAACAATATCTAAATAGTAGAGGATCAGTAATTTATATTCAAATAATGCTTGCAATTGTAGTATACGGTTGCCACATAAATGGTCACCATGTTTAGATCACAGTTTCTAAACTCAACAGGCAGGAGGATGTACTTGAATCTCCACAGAACACAACCACGTCCAATAACTTGTACAGCACCGTCGATTCCGGGCACACCAACTCCGCAGCTGCAGATAATACAGTACAGAAAATACTTCACACAATTGATATACAACACGCGACATGTGTCGAGATCGGGCTTAAGGACACATGTTAGTGATCAGAAACGATATTACAATCAGTACGTATTGCCGTTTTCAGTTGTGGTGTCCCCGCGTTCTTGCATGAATGATGAAGTATATGTGTGTTTTGTCTGCTGTACTTTTGCTTGTAGGTTTTTTGTCTATCACAATAAGTATAATCTTGTTCATACATTTCTATATGTATAATTTAGATCTAGCTTGTATAAATAGTTTGTCAAGTTTATATACGCACGATTCTATCATTACTTAATTTTTTTAATGTGTGTCTAGGGTTCCTCGGCTATGAATATTTATTTGCCTACGTGTATAGATTCGAACAACATTCAGCCTTTCCTTTTGGTATTTCTATAGCAGATCTGTGTGCTTCTTGATTTTTTAAACTTATTAGTGCCACAACTTTCTCGTATCTGGTACAATATTCCTGTAGCGCATGATTTTTATTGTATAGTTTAGTTTGACGATTTGTGTCTGCATTAAATATATATACTTTATTGCAGTTGCATACGCGTTCAGCTCTCAGGATTACGTTCACCCCGTTCTCGAATGTATATTTCACATTTAAAGGGTTGTGTGTACCATGAATTATGTAAGCGGCGCAGTTTCATAAACGATTTCATGCCATATCGCCACGTTCGCAAATGAATTTTCAATACACGTGTATCGGTTTAAATATGATATGATATAATATATATATATATATATATATATATATATATATATATATATATATGCATATGTATATATATATATATATATATATATTTATATATATGCTTATATATATATATATATATATATATATATATATATGTGTGTGTGTGGGTGTGTGTGGGTGTGTGCGTGGGCGTGTGTGCGTGTGTGTGTGTGCGCGCGTGTATGTATGTATATATGTGTGTGCGTGTGTGTGCGTGTGTGTGTGTGTGTGTATGTGTGTGTGAGATATATATATATATATATATATATATATACATACATACATATATAACATATGCGATAGTATGTATGTTATTGCATTGGTAGATTTATATATATATTTGTAAGGTATATTTATATATTCATGTGTACATATATGTGTATATGTTTGAATTTGCAAGTATACAATATACCCATACATGTATGCAAATCCGTTCTTTTTTGATACCTCGCATTTATTGTAGCCATATGGTTGATTCACAGTCGCTCTCTGTTGTCAATCGCCACTACTCGTTGCATATTCTGTATATTTGGTGTTTTAGATTTGTTGTTGAATACATGAAGCTATTTGAGAGCGATTTATAGATTTAAAATGTATACGAGGGTCAACCACTTTCTCAATGTCCTCGACTCTTTTGTCACAGGAATCGAGGCTTCAATCAAAATACTGCCAGTGGTTACTATGCGGCCTCTATTGCCGTCATTTTCTTGGCCGCTTCGTATGCGGCGGTTCCGCTTTATAGAGCTTTTTGCCAGGCCACCGGATATGGAGGGACAATTCAGGAATCTAAGGTGAGATTCACGAAATCGGCTAGTTCTAATACACACAACCTAAACTGGTATTTGTCTGACGCTTCGTATTCTTTCGTTCGAGTAAGCTGTTAGAGTGGTTACAAGTCTCATTGCGCTTTCTTCTCTGATTTCCGCGAAACTATGTTTCGAGCAGGACACCGACATGACGCTTATGGTGAAGCACATGGATAGGCCCATCAGGATACGCTTCAATGCCGATACCAGTAATAATATGCAATGGGCGTTCAAGTATGTCTTGTATTTTATACAGACATTTGACATACGGGTGAAATTGTAGTATTCATGCGCGCTTTCTATTCTTATGGTAAATATGACTGGCAGAAAACATTAACATAATTTTTGTTGCGAGTCTTGCTTGTCCTGTGCCAATTTGTCGCTGCCTGCGGCCCTACATCAAGCCACCGAGATTTGAAAGTTTAGCTTCTCATGGTTGTTGGTTTGAATTGGACGTAAGCAGCCCACATTCTTATGCACTGGTGCTTCATCGGCGTGTCAAAAACTGTTAATTCAAAATGCTTCCGAGTGCCCACGATATCAGCAAGCTGTTCAACACGTGGTCGACCCACTATACTGTGCCATGACATTCACACCTACGTTTAACCCAGATTTTCTTTCTGCACTGTATGGAATGAATTGTTATCAGACCCCAACAAAAGGAGGTAACTGTCATCCCGGGCGAGTCTGTGCTTGCGTTTTATACAGCAACGAATCCAACCGACAAGCCCATATCAGGTAATTTTGACGCAAACATGACTTTGATCCGTTTACCAAATGGTCTATTTGATTAATGTGTGAACAGCAGGAAGTCTTTTGGCTTGGCATGAATGTTTCTATTTGTCTGCATCTACTTTAATTACACAAAGCAGGAAGTGTCTGTTTTCTCAAATCATAATACTAACTAATCATTTATTCCCTTTTAGGAATTAGCACGTATAATGTGATACCCTTCGAGGCCGGCCAATACTTCAACAAGATACAATGTTTCTGTTTTGAGGAACAGCGGCTCAATCCGGACGAACAGGTTTGTCTATGTATTCTATGGTATGCTGTGACTTCTTAAGGTCCTGACAAATTTTCTCTTCATGCTGCAGAAAATAGTAAGCAACCTGTTACGGGAAGCAACTGTGGTCCTATATTTGGTTGCGCTCCGAGAAATCAATATTGTCTTCGATGGTGACGTTTTAGTAGTCAGTGATATATGTATCATCAGTTGTTAGTATATTAAATCACTTGAAACAATGAACTTGCTGTTACACTGGCCTGTATTACTAACCACTCTGCGCCACCAATCTATTTACTTGCAGGTTGATATGCCCGTGTTCTTCTACATTGACCCTGAGTTCGCCGACGACCCTTTCATGGCGAAAGTGAATACGATCACACTATCTTACACGTTCTTTGAGAGTAAGAATTTCGATTATGAGAAGTGGTCATCGGAGCAACAGGGTCCGGTGGCGATACCTGCACACGCTACGAAAGGATTACCAGCAGTTCCAGTCACAGTCTCTACCAGCTAGTAACTATCGACTTGCAGCCTGAATACAATTTATAAGCAAGCCATCTATAACATGTCAAAGCGCTGTGACTGATTTCGTAATCCAGTAGGGTATACATGTCTTCAATAATAGTACAAGTTTAGTAAAGTGTAGACTCGATCAAACGTTGATCTCACCATTCACTTTAGCATATAGGTATTCGTTGGACATGCAGTCAGCGCTGATAAAATGCGCGTTTTGATTACACAATTATTCTCTCTGAAGCAATATTTTTGGAACAAAGTCGGTTTGGAAACAGATAAATGAACATATAGCACGCGAAAACTGGCTTGGTAAGCAATTTTGGTGTATTGCTTGCTCGTAGCCTATTAATTCAAGAGGCTATACAATCTTTAAGTAACAATTCAACATTCAACACATGTGAAACATCCTTTGTAGTTGGGGTCACACGGATAAAATAGACCGGGAGTCGTAAGCCGATGCGAACAGTATACAAATATCTACACGAGCGAGCGCGATAAGCAAAGCGAGGAACATTTCAAAATGAAATTCGCGATACAAACGAAAACTATACTTTACGAGTTAGGACTACGAACGTTCACATGTGTGGCCATTCAACTAGCTTGCGTGACGCGTACTGATGAGAACTTACCGTAACATTCGTCAGCCTGCTAAATATCCGGACTGTATATTATTCAATCCATTTCAACATACAGCAGATGAGCGCATATGCTGGAGTATAGCCGAGTTTCCAGTAATATGGGGGCTGATAATAAATGCGGTGCGCCTTTGGGTGAGAGTATTTCTTGCTTTTAATACTTTTCTCTCTGATAAGCTAACCTTAATATTATTCATTCATATCTGGCAGATAACCTTTTCTTCATGTGTTATCCTGCATTCATAATTTCATCAGTGTTGGTTGTCCATCACACAACTAGACCAGCGGCGGTTGAGAGTGTCCAACACCGTATGACTGGAAACACAACAGTGCATACGCAAGAGAGATAACTTAGTATCTGTAGTGATCGGGCTTGTAAGGTCCTTCGGTGGGAAGGCCAAGGTAGTCAGCCTGCTTGGCGGTAAGGGTAGTTAACTTGATGTTAAGCTTCTCCAAGTGGGCCTTGGCGACAAGCTCGTCCAACTGCTTGGGCAGCATGTGTACACCAAGCTCGTACTTGCTGGTGTGCTTCCAAAGCTCAATCTGAGCCAGAACCTGACAGCAGAAGGAGTTGGACATAACGAAACTGGGGTGACCGGTGGCGCATCCCAAGTTTACTAGACGTCCCTCAGCGAGAAGGATGATGTGAGTTCCGTTGGAAAGTGTGTAGCGATCCACCTGAGGCTTGACGGTGTCCTTCTTGGCGTTCACATTCAACCAAGCGGTCTGGATCTCGCAATCGAAGTGACCGATGTTGCACACGATAGCATCCTCTTGCATCTTCATGAAGTGCTCAGATGTGATGATATCGGCACAGCCGGTGGTGGTGACAAAGATATTTCCCTCAGAGCAAGCGATGTCCATGGTGGTTACTTCATAACCCTCCATTGCGGCCTGGAGAGCGTTGATGGGGTCAATCTCGGTGATAATAACACGGGCCCCCATGTTTCTTAGAGACGCGGCAGATCCCTTACCGACATCACCGTATCCGGCAACAACGGCAACCTTTCCGGCGATCATAACATCGGTGGCACGCTTAATACCATCCAGAAGTGACTCGCGGCAACCGTAAAGGTTATCGAACTTGGACTTGGTAACACAATCGTTTACGTTGATAGCGGGCATCGCTAGCTTTCCAGTTTTGAACATCTTATATAAGTTGTGTACACCAGTGGTGGTCTCCTCAGACACACCCTTGATACCCTCAAGGTACTGAGGGTACTTCTCGTGTACGTGGTTGGTCAAGTCACCTCCATCATCCAATATCATGTTAAGGGGCTGACCGTCGGGGAAAACAATGGTCTGGTCAACACACCACATGTACTCCTCATCGGTCTCACCCTTCCAGGCGAAAACGGGTACACCGGTGGCGGCAATGGCAGCGGCGGCGTGATCTTGAGTGGAGAAGATGTTGCATGAAGACCACATAACCTCAGCTCCTAGAGCGGTAAGAGTCTCGATAAGCACAGCGGTCTGGATAGTCATGTGAAGACATCCAGCGATGCGAGCTCCCTTTAGGGGCTGCTCGGGTCCGTACGTCTTGCGTAGGTACATAAGACCAGGCATCTCATTCTCGGCGATCTCGATCTCCTTACGACCCCAGTCGGCAAGCTTGATGTCAGCTACTTTGTAATTCTGTGCAGTCATGATTGCTATATGAGTTTATCTGCTAATACGGATAATAAAGCTAGGTGGTGTCTGAGCAAGTTTTATATACTATAAAGTTCATGACTTTCGTGTACAAAAATTATGCGCATGAAGTGAATTTTACTACTTTTTTGATGTTTAATTTTGACATCTAAAATGTAGCATGGAGCACGCCGACAACCAGACGTGTCGCATTAAAAATATCGCCGGGGAAAATGTAGCATTACGTAAAAACTATAATACAGTTTCAGGTTCTCACTGTCCATCAGATTGCAATAATAGTTGCTATACATACCCAATCTAAAAAAGCAGTAGAAAACGTACTGCACAAGATAGTGGTCCTGGTTAATAATAAATGCCATGACAACGTTTCTCGTTGTTAAGACCCTAAAAAGATGAAACAGGGCACCGGCGTCCGACAGTCCAGATACCAGCGGTCCTATAAGAAATCCTTATGCCCGTGGAATGAAGTTTAAAATCACAGGTATTTAATCCGGCAATGGGCCCGTGGGGTAAATAAACTTTTTACCAAGGGTTTGATTCGTGTAGATTCGGACCGTTGAATGATGAAATAGACAAAGCATAGTGTATCTCAAATTCTCAATAGCAGGATGTTTTCATTGGAGTAATTTAACATTCTCGACGTTGGTTGAAAATAAAAACTGAATATGTACTATTTTTAGATTATAGAATCGGGATTCTCTATATTGTAAAACGGGATAAAGATCGCAAGTACCTACGATTGGGTAGCGAGAGAAAATGTACCGTAGTACTATGAAAGTAGTACGGTTTCAGTAGATTTCTGAAAGTTTGCATATAAAATGAATTGTAAAATATTAAGAAATTTACGTTTTCTCGTGTTGATCAACAACAGCTATGTCACAATATGTATTTTACAGGAGGCTTTATCGTATTTTACTGCTGTTGTCGGTAGAGCTGGGCGAAAGCAACAATAAAAATAGAGCCTACGGCCTACGCTAAAGCCCTACTGCTGCGATGTATTAACGTATAATTTGAAAATTCCAATTCGAAATCAATTAAAAAAAATATTTATCGACTCTAGTGGACAAGTCCCAAGTTGCCGAGACTCAAGTCCTGGACTCCTGGTTCAGAAAACACTCCGAGACTATATTATTATTAGAACATCCTTTTATGGCATCTCTTGGGGGTAAAACTAGTCACGGATGGTGGAACAAAGATTTCGAGAATTGCAATACACAAACAATTTTATACACTATATCATATGACGAGAAAATACTCGAGAAAAGCGCACAGGTAGTACATCTCCCTATCTCGAAGCAGATCACACAGCTGCGTATATCAGTCAATCAGATCGTACCTGATCAGGGCTTGCTATCATGGTCTATCATACTAACGAGCATTTCTTCAACATAAATGACGGATATCCTGAGGGACTTTGTCGGGGGTTCAAAGCCGGAATCCTCAAGCAGGCTGACTATGCGAATTTGGTACAATGTGAAACACTAGACGGTAAGTTACCAACTGCCTATTACAAGTACATTCTGTTATTATGTTAACATATTATATGCATCACAGGCACAATAATATTTCAGTTGTATATACACACACATACATATATATATATATATATATATATATATATATACACACACACTACACACACACACACACACACACACANACTACTATA